CCAAAGTGTGGGGATTACAGGCATGAGCTAATGCACCCAGCCAAGAAATATTTCTTTTTTAAAAAATTTTTTGAGTTGAGTTCTCATTCTGTCACCCAGGCTGGAGTGCGGTGGTGCGATCTCTGCTCACTGCAGCCTCAACCTTCCAGGCTCAAGTGAGCCTCCCACCTCAGCCCCCAGCTCTTCACCACTTCCCAGTTGGGACTACAGGCATGCGCCACCACGCCTGGCTAATTTTTGTAATTTTTGTAATTTTTGTAGAGCTGGGGTTTCTCTTTGGTGCCCAGGCTGGTCCTGAACTCCTAAGCTCAGGCAATCCACCTTCCTTGGCTTCCCAAAGTGCTACAATTACTTTGTGGTGTGAGCCACTGCACCCAGCCTTCTTCTCTCTCTCTTTTAAAGTATTTTATATTATTTATTTGTTTTATTTATTTATTATTTATTTATTTATTTATTTATTTATTTTGAGACTCGAGTTTTGCTCTTGTTGCCCAGGCTGGAGTACAGTGGCTCAATCTCCGCTCACTGCAACCTCTGCCTTCTGGTTTCAAGTGATTCTCCTGCCTCAGCCTCCGGAGTAGCTGGTGCTACAGGTATGTGCCACTATACCCAGCTAATTTTGTATTTTCAGTAGAGACGGGGTTTATCCATGTTGGTCAAGCTGGTCTCGAACTCCCAACCTCAGGTGATCCGCCTGCTTCGGCCTCCCAAAGTGCTGGAATTACATGCATGAGTCACCATGCCCGGCCTTTCCTCTTTCTAACAGAATGAATAGTCCAGAGAGTTGGGACAATGTTAGAGGAGAGAACCTGAGGCCTGAATCAGCGTTAGTGGTGGTGGTGAGGCACAGGAGAGAAGCAAAAGGACTAGAGAGTTCTGCGGGAGCATCGAGTGTGACACAGGGGCCGAGCGCGGTGGCTCACGCCTGTAATCCCAGGGCTCTGGGAGTCCCAGGGAGGATTCTTTGAGGACAGGAGTTTGAGACCAGCCTGGGCAACACATCTCTACAAAAAATCAACAATTAGCGGGGCATGGTGGCATACGCTGTCATCCCAGCTACTCGGGAGGCTGAGGTGGGAGGATCACTTGAGCCCAAAAGGTTGAGGCTACAGTGAACTGTGATCACACCACTATTCTGGGCAACAGAGCAAGACCCTGTCTCTAGGGGGAAAAAAAGCGCAACCTGGGGCTGTGGGTACAGAGCTGACTCGAGGCTTGGGGGCTGAGGACAGCCCTCCTAGTGTGTGAAGCTGTCGAGGGGGAAAGCTGGGTGGGGAGAGCATGCGGAGGCTGCTATCCTGCCTACAGGCAAACAGATCTAGGGGTCCTCTGTCAGCTGCAAGGGTCACAACTCCAGGGAGGTGGCATGGGGAGCAGAGACCATTGTCACCTTTCTGAGGGACCACCGCCCACCCACTGTCCTCAGCACAGGAGAAAGGAGGCTGGCCCAGCCGGCGGGTCTGCCACCCTGATGTTAGTGTAAGGCACAGCCTGCCTCTCTAAGACCTGGGAACTTGGGATGCCCAGGGCTTCTCTATATAAAGAATTATCTGGAGGGGCTTAAGGGTCCAAGGAGAAGTGGACCTGGTGTTTCCAGAGCAGTCTGCGCTGGGCCTCAGACTGGACAAGAAAGAATGGAGGTCTGCCCCAGGCACTGTTCTGCGTCCTTATGTGCCTCAGTTTCCCCATGTGAGGCTATCCTGGGGCTCTGGAAAGGGAGCCTCTGCAGTGGACCCAGCCGCTGCTCCCTGGATGTCCCGCCAGGCTCCCTCCCAGCACTGGCCTCCCAGGAATGTGCTTCTCAGCCCCCAATCTGGGCGCCTGCCTTATCGGGCCCCCAATCGAAGGGGAGACAGACACCCCTGTCGGCAATGGTGGCCCCTCCTGTTAACCCCAGCCTGACCCTGAGTTGAGGGCCAGCCAGCGCCTGCTAAGTGCCTGGAGGAGGAATACCTCCCCTTCCCCACGCTGACATGAAACCCGACCTCCTGCACTGGCTCCTTTGTGCCCGCCGGGCGCCCGCCCTGGCGTCAGAGGCCCTGGGTCCCCGCCCTGCCGCACAGTGCGGCTGCCAGGGTGGGATCTGCTCTGCCTGGCCTGCTTCCAGCATGACCTTAGCCTGCTTTGTTGGAAAACGAAGGCTGTCTGTGGGGGTCCACTCAGCCTGCCCCCAGCCCCCAACCCCTGAGCGCCTCGGTTCAACCCCTGCCGTATGAGGCCAGACCTTCTCCTCACTCCTGAAGCAAATGCCCCACCCTCCAGCACCCCAGGCTCTCGCTGTCCCCTCCAGAGCAGGGAGGAAGGCTCCTGAACCCACTCTCATCAGGCACTGGTCTCACCCCACTCCCCAGGGAACCCCTCTCCTCGCCCTGTGGGACCCTCATGCTCTTGGGATGCACCTGAGAACCTTCTCAGCCAGTCCTCCCTCTTGACAGTTCCAGGCTCCTCGGGGCACCTCAGGGCCCTGTCCAAAGCATCCCTTGTATTCCACGTTTCCCTCCAAGGTTGCACTCCCCTTGCCCGTGAAGTCTCATCCATTTGCCTGCCTTCCTCTCCCTCCTGCCTGCCGTTATCCTGGTTAGCAGGAGCCTTGGCATAGCTGCAACTCACAGTCCCTTCCCCGGCCACGTCTCCCTGATTGTCACTGCCTGGCTCCTGAAGCCCTTTCCTGGCTCAGCCTCCCTCGGCCTCCCCAGCTGGGGCTGCATCCGGCTGCCCAGGCCTGGCCTCTTTTCTCCATTGGCCCCTGAGCATCTCACACGTGCCCAAAGCTGCAAATGCCATTGATCTACTGATGACGGCACCCACATTTGGACTGTCTGCTCCAACCTCTACCCCAACATCACACTCAGATTTTTCCAAGCGATGTCATGCAGATGCCTCAAATTCAATGAAGCCGTAACGGTAGCCTCCATCCCCCTCACCTTCTCCCCATGAGCTCTTCAACTCAAAAGACCACCACCATCCCTCCACTCTGTGGCTCAGGCCTCTGAATCCACTTGGACGCCCCTCTCACGGCCCTGTCCCATCTGTAGGCAAACCCACACACCCCTCCTCATCCTGCTGGTTCCACCCTCTCCAAGTCATCACCCCCCACCCCTCGCTCGTGGATTTCTCTGGCAATCCTCTACCCTAACAGCAGACACAGAGGTTTTTGTTTTTTTTTTTTTAAGTTTAGTAACATACAACATAAAATTTGTCCAAACTATTTTTAAGTGTTCAGTTCAGTGGTATTAAACATTCTTAGGCAACCATCCCCAACATCCACCTCCAGAACATTTTCATCTTCTCAAACTGAAACTTGCGCTCATTAAACAACTCCCTGTTCCCCTCTCACATAAGTGGAACCATTCAGTATTTGTCTTTTTGTGACTTTTTTTTTCTTTTGAGACAGTCTCACTCTGTCACCCAGGCTGGAGTACAATGGCATGATCTCAGCTCACTGAAACCTCTGCCTCCCAGGTTCAAGTGATTCTCCTGCCTCAACCTCCCATACATGGAAGAGGCCTTACGTACTCCTGAGTAGCTGGGATTACAGGCACAGGCCACCACGTCTGGCTAATTTTTGTATTTTTAGTAGAGACAGAGTTTCACCATGTTAGCCAGACTGGTCTTGAACTCCTGACCTTGTGATCCACCTGCCTTGGCCTCCCAAAATGCTGGGATTACCGGCTCGAGCCACCGCATACAGCCTTGTGACTGGTGTTGTCACTGAGCATATGTCTTCATGGGTCATCCATGCTGCATCATAGACCAGACTTCCACTCCTTTAAGGTTGATTCGTATTATACTACATGTATTCACCATATTTTGCCTATCACATCAGTGGCTGAACCCGTGAGCTGCTTCTGCCTTTTGGCTATTGTGAATAATGGGGCCATGAACACAGTTGTATGAACATCTGTTCAAGTCCCTGCTGTTTATTCTTTGGATATGTACCCACAAGTAGCATTGCTGGATCATACAATAATTGTATTTTTAACTTTCTGAGTAATGGTCATATTGTTTTGCACAGCAGATTAACCATTTTATATTCCCATCAATGGTGCACCAGGGTTCCGATTTCTCCATATCCTCACCAACACTTACTTTATTGTTTTGCTTTTCACAGTCACCATCCTAATGGACACAGGGATCTTTGTAAAGGGACAGTCAAACTTCACATCTTCCCAGAGGCATCCCAGGTCACCCACCTAGCACTGCGGACCCCCACGTGGCCCGACCCCTCACTTGGGAATATTTTCATCTAGTGTCAGCACTAGCTCATTGTATCGACTGCCTCCTGGCTGGACCCTAAGGGACAGTGTCTTCTGCTGGATGTCGTATCCCCAGCATCTAGAACAGTGATGGACATACGGTTGTTTAGCAAACTGTTGAATAAATGAATAAAATTTCTCTTTTCCACAAAAATACTGAAGCCCTCTCCTCGTCCACTCGCTCTGATGCCTCTCAACCGTCGAGCCCCACCCGGGGTTTCAATCCCCGAGTCCAGCCTCTCCTTCCGTGGGCACCCGGGAAGACCCCTGACAGGAGCCGGCACATTTGAGTGGGGACTTGGACGTTCGGGAAGGTTTGGACACGTACCCGAACGCCTCCCTGCTGTGGGTTAGGTGGGCCCGTCCTGGGTTCGCAGCAAGGAGAACGTGGAGGCTAGGTCGTTAGCGAGCTGGAGGCGGGCCAGCACTGTCAGGGCCGCCCCACTCCCTGCCCCGCCCCCGCCGCCACACCCACCCCTTCCGGTTTTGAATCGCCTGCTCCGGTCTTTGCGCCACCAACCCTACGATCTTAGCCCTGCCCCCGGGGTGTCGTGGATCCTCACTATTGGTCCTCTCCTAAAAAGCCGCGAAGTGACCAATTCCTGATTGGCCACACGTTCTCCCGCGCCGCTACCGCAGCCACAACAACCGCCACGTGCTCAATCTTGGCGCCTGCCCATTGGCCACCAGCCTCTACCCGCCCACCCTCCCTTTCCGCCCCTAACTTCCCTCTTCCTCCTTCCATTGGCTCAAGGGCTCTCTTTTCAGACTGGGGCGCGCAGCGTCTTGGACGCGGATTGGCCGAAGGCGGGGCCGGGAGGCGGGTTAAAGAGCGGGTTGCCGGCCAGACCACGCGTGCTTGAGAAGGTTCAATGGCGTGGCAGGGACTGGCGGCCGAGTTCCTGCAGGTGCCGGCGGTGACGCGGGCCTACACCGCAGCCTGCGTCCTCACCACCGCTGCGGTGGTAAGCGGGCCGGGCGGACCGGACGGCGCCCTAGTTACAGCCTCTGGTGGGGGGTGAGGGTCGCCATGGTTACAGCGTGGCTCCCGGGCAGCTCATGACCGGCCCCTGGTTCCACAGCAACTGGAGCTCCTCAGCCCCTTCCAACTCTACTTCAACCCGCACCTCGTGTTTCGGAAGTTCCAGGTGAGGCCGCCCCGCGCCGCGCACCTGCGGACTCAGCCCGCCCACCCCGCACCTGACCGCCCGTCCCCCGCAGGTTTGGAGGCTCGTGACCAACTTCCTCTTCTTCGGGCCCCTGGGATTCAGCTTCTTCTTCAACATGCTCTTCGTGTATCCTGCGCCCCGCGGACACGGGCTGGGTGGAGGGCAGGCCCGCCGGGCTGGGAGAGGCCGGGGCGGGGAAACTGAGGCCCCACCTGGTGGCACTTCCTATACTGACGTCGTAGGTTCCGCTACTGCCGCATGCTGGAAGAGGGCTCCTTCCGTGGCCGCACGGCCGACTTTGTCTTCATGTTTCTCTTCGGAGGGGTCCTTATGACCGTATCCTTCCCGCGGGCTCTGGAGCCTCGAGGTTTCGGCCTGTGTGGGTCCTGGGGCCTGACATGAACAGCCATGCCAGGGACAGAGTTTCTCTCTCCAGCTCAGTATGTGTTCAGGGTCCACGGTGTGCTCAGCTGCGGGAGCCAGGGCTAGATCTTCAGTGCTGTATGCAAAATACAAGGCGATGCACAGACGAGCCAGGTGGGGTGACAGCCACTGGCTGAGCTCTGAATGTGAGCAGCCGGAGAAACTGGGGCAGGGACAGGCAGTGGTTGGGCCCTAGGATGAGGCTGTAGGTGTGCAGGGCAGATCCCGTGGGACCTGAAGCCTGCAGAGTGTCGCCTTTATTGGGCAGGCTCGTCTTGATGACGGAATGGCACATAGGGGCAATGAGGAAGGAATTCCAGAGGCTTAGGAAATCAGAGGGGACCCTGGGCATGGGCTGAGGCCTGCACTGGAGCACCTTGACTCTGGCCCAGCTGCTGGGACTCCTGGGTAGCCTGTTCTTCCTGGGCCAGGCCCTCGTGGCCATGCTGGTGTACGTGTGGAGCCGCCGCAGCCCTCGGGTGAGGGTCAACTTCTTTGGCCTGGTCACTTTCCAGGCACCGTTCCTGCCTTGGGCACTCATGGGCTTCTCGCTGCTGCTGGGCAACTCCATCCTCGTGGACCTGCTGGGTGAGCCTCCCTGTACATCCAGTGCGCCCCAGGCTGGCCACTCCCCTCAGGACACACTGCTTATGCCCTGGGGTCCTCTCCCATCTGTGCTGGACCTCTCCTCACAGCTGAACCTCGCATCTGCCTCCCTGCCCCATCTTCTTGCCCTCGCAGCTGCTGTGCTCTTCAAACAGCCCACAGGATTTGCATCTTCAGGGCTGACCTGCTGAAGACTGCCTGGTCCTGATGGGGGTGGGGATGGGCGGGTCACGGCTCCTGCCCCGTGGCTCCCACTCCGCCACCATTCTCGAGCCCTCCCTCCCCTGGGTCCTGACTGTTTCTGGGCCCTTTAAGCTTGTCCTTCAGGGCCAACCCTGGCCGGCCCTGGGCTGGCACTCTGCAAGACTTTGGGGCATTCATGCTCTGGGGTCTGCAGGGCCTATGGGCCTGACAGGGCCTCCAGGCTGTGGATGGGGGCCCAGGGCAGGCTCTGCTCGTCTAGGACTCTGGGCTGTGGAGCGTGACCCCACAGTCCATGGCTGTCTCACAGGGATTGCCGTGGGCCACATCTACTACTTCCTGGAGGATGTCTTCCCCAACCAGCCTGGAGGCAAGAGGCTCCTGCTGACCCCTGGTTTCCTGTGAGTGTTGAGAGCCCTCCCTCCCTCTCCCCGCCCTCAGATGGCTCCCCCACCCATGGGGACCTCTGCTGGCCTCTGCTCAGCATAGGCTCCTCCCCACAGAAAGCTGCTCCTGGATGCCCCTGCGGAAGACCCCAATTACCTGCCCCTCCCTGAGGAACAGCCGGGACCCCACCTGCCACCCCCACAGCAGTGACCCCACCCAGGGCCAGGCCTAAGAGACTTCTGGCAGCTTCTATCCTACCTGTGACCCCTACTTGGGGCAGAAAACCCACCCTAAAGGCTGGGCCCATTCAAGGACCCACCCGAATAAACAGAATGACCTGCAGCCTCTTGGCTCATGGCACTGGTTCCCCACCTCGCCCGGCCACATCCTACTATGCCTCCCCGTCCTCACTCAGTGTGGCCTCTCAGCCCAACTGTAGGTGGTGGGATAGGAGTACCCATGGTTGCCCGGCAGAGCTTTGAGCTCACAGGTGACGGGCTCATGGTTCTCCTTCTGGCCCAACCAGGGCCTTGGGCAAGTCCTGCCCACCACAGGCCTCTGTTCCCTGCCGGTCAGTGGGCAAGTTCACCAGATTTTGGCTGCCAGGGCCAGGACAGGCCTCTCCTAGGTTGTGCCGAGCCAGCCTACAGGTGTCCCTGCCCATGGTGCCTTCAGGCTGATGCTGATCTAGCCTCTCCTGTCCCTCATCAGCCACCTGACAGGTGGGCCTATGCCTCATTTTTCATCTGGTAACACCAAGGCCCCAGAGTCAGGTGCAGAGGAGGGCCAGGACTGGGTCTTCTGCCCCTTCTATGACCCCAGAGCCTTGACCTTTGCACCTTAGCAGAGTCTTGAGACTGGGTGAGGCAGGGACTTCTGGAAGGTTCTGTTCCTGCCCTTTTTAGCTGAGGACCCGTGGGAGCCTTATCCAAACCCTGCAGCTCACTTTTCTCTTCTGACCTGGCAGCTTCCCTGTTACTCTAGGCCTGTCCGTATGGTTTGTGTCTGGATGCTCAGTGGCATGGGGGCTCCTCCAGCTACAGGTCATCATTTTTGTGGTAACAACACTGTTCTGTTGAGTCTGCCCTTCATGTTGTAGCCAGACCTTGTGGAGCAGCAGCTGACTCTGTGGCGGTGTGAGGTGGCGGTCAGGGGTGAGGGCCCAGCCTCCCAGGCACCTCCCAGCCAGGTGGGCCTGCCTGACCTGTGGGCTGAAGCCACCAAGGTTCCTTCCATCCCACCAGTTGTGGGGACACAGGGCTGCTTCACCCTTTCATTAACAAGGTTCCTGCCCCATGGACGAAAAGAATAAATACCTCAGCAATGAAACCTGTTCCTGTCCATGGAAGATACCCCTTTGTTCAAGGGCCTTCCAGGAAGGCCCAGCTGTCCCTTGCTGGGGCCTCTTGGGAGTTCCATTCTTTGATGGAAGGCAGAGGCCCTGAGTGCAAACTCCCTGGGAAGAGTCCCATGCTAAGGCTTGCTCAAAGGAGCCCCCATCTCACCTACACCCCAGTGACCAAGAACCCCAATCCCTAATCGGAGCTCTGTTTCTGCCCCACATCGAGCCCTACCCCACTTCCAGGGAGCACAGCAGTCTCTGACCCTAGCCCTGCCCTGGCAACAGGGGACCTGCCAACAGCTGAGGCGGCCTGTGCTGGGGTCTGTGCCCATTCTCTTCAGTAAGGCTGGGGCTTCGAGCCAGTCTGCTGCCCTCCTAGATCTTACGTCCATTTTAAAGAATGGGGACACCTCCATATTACAGATGAGAACAGAGGGGACACGAACTCCTTGTAGACAGAGCTGACACCAGGCCATAGCGCCTGCTGGGGTGGGGAAAGGGCCCCAGTTGATCTTGCTATGGGCACCACTGGAGCTGGAACAGCCCTCCTGCACCCAGGCTGGCGACAGCCCAGCAGTGCCCACAAAGGACCAGGCCTTCCACCGGGGGACTCCAGAACAGCAAGGCCCCAGCTGGCAGCAGCCTGATCATCTGGACACAGCAGAAGAGCTCACGGCTCCTTCCTGAGGCCAAGCAAGGGGAGCAGGGCTGTTGCTGAAAGGCAGGGAGCCCCACAGCCACTCTTCTCAGCTCTCTGGGTCTGGAAGAACAGGCTGAGACGACTGAGGTGCTACCAGGAGCCCCATTCACCACCACCCCCTACCTGGGAATCTGAGGCAGAGGAGAGTGAGGCCTGCCTGCCAGCCTGTTCACATGCCACCTTTGTCCCTCCAGGCCCCAGCCCCGCTCCTGGCTCTCATTATTTTTATGCTAAAACTTTGAAGAAATTGAACATGACCTGTTGACTTTTATTTAAAAACTGTAACTAGCCCTGCCTGGGGCTCCTATACAAAAACAAAACACAACCCAAAATCACGTTTCTTCCTGACCCCAGAGACTGGGGACGGGTTGGGGGACAGGACTGGGGCTCAGCAAATGGAATGTGTGCCGGAGAAGGCCACCTGGAAGCCCCCACTCCACCCCCGCCCCAATCCTCAGGATGGTGCTGGGCTGTCCCCTCGCCTCTGTCCTTGCCAGAAGATGGAGGAGAGGTGGCCCGGTCTTCTGAGATGCTCGGTGGGAGCCACGTGCTGACGGGCTGGTTACCAGGCCGGGGCCGTGTTGGCGAGACGCCTCATCCGCCTGGAGAAGGAGTTGGGGAGGGCAGTCAGCAGGGCCAGCTTCCAGCCGGACACTGCCCTTCCTAAGGCTCCCCAGGGCAGCCAGGTGTGTGGGGGTGGGCACAGAGGCAGGATGTGGGCCCCCAGCAGGGTTGGACCCGGCCTTCTCTCAGCCTCACCTGTCTGCTGCTCTGACCCTGCCCATCACTCCAGGGACCCTGAAGCCTGCATCTGGGCTGTGGTCAGATCCAGCCTGAGGAATTGCGTTTATTCCCTTCAGGGAAACATACCCTGGGGCCTGGATGGGGCCTCATCACCCAGGAGCCTGCCTGCCTCTAGCAACACTAGAGGTACCCACTCTTCCAGAGACCATGGGAGACTGGGAAAGGCAATGGCCCTGTCCCTGCCGGGAAAGCCAGGTGACTATGGGCAGAGCCGGACCACAGCGCCAGGGGTACCTCGTGTTCCTGTCCTGGTCGCGGATCTTCTTCTCCATCTCAGCATCTGTCAGAGTCTCCAGCAGCGGGCACCACTGGTCTGCATCGCCCGTGTTCCGGATGGCAATCTCCACCGTGGGCAGAGGGTTCTCACTACAGGGAGGGGAGGCAGTGAGAGGAGTCACTTTTCCAGCTATAGATGAAGGGTCCTCAGAAAGCTCTGGCCAGGGGACTCTGGCGCCTGTCTGTGCCCTGCTTCTCCCAGCAGCACTGCTGGCACCCAGGAATGCTCCTGTCACCTGAACCTCAAGGGAGCTGCCGGAGGTGCCAGGCCGTCCCCAGAACAGTGCTGCCACGGTGACATCATGGGCTTCCCTTCAAAGTGAACTTTCAGGAGGCCCTCTGTGCCCAGCATCTCTCCGTCTCTGAGATGGGGGAGGGGCCACTGGCTGTGGCAGTCCTCCTTGACAGGACAGCACAGGCTGGGCCACACTGATGCCCCTGGGCCTCGGTCAGGAGGACTGTCTGCTCCACCCAGTGTCCAGAGCTAGGGCCCACTGATTAGGGAAAAGGGATGGATGGCAAATGGGAGCCAAAGAGCCTCCCCGAAGTCCCCAGTGCCCCACTGCTGAGGCCACTGCACAGCCTGCTCCTGCTTGTTCCACACACTCACACCTCAGCCCACCTCCCGACCAAACCAACCCCCTGAGAGGCTGCTGTGTGCCTAGGGTCAGACAGCTGGCTGGCAGGGAGCTGGACTGAAGCCATATCCCTGGACCACACTCCGCCCTGGCTCTCACAAAGACCACCCAACTCTGCCCCCAGGTACCCTCCTCTTGCCAAGAGGACACAGTGGAGGAAGGGGGCAGCATGGGCAGAGGCTACACAGACATGGGGTGGGCGCAGGAGCGCTGGAGGAGGGGGGCTGGCTGTCATCTCTCTGGGCCTTGATTTGCAAGTCAGTGTGACAGGATGCTAAGGAGACCACAGCTGTGGGTGCCACAGGGCCCATGTGCTTCCCACGTGCGCTGGCTCCTGTCACTCCCACCTGAGAGAGAACAGCTTTGGCTGCTGACAGTGTTTCCTGGTTGAGTGACACCAAACCCCCGGCCTGGCAGAAAGCCTCAGCGTTGAGGTCCTAAGCACGACTCTCCTGCTTCCCCTCCCCTCACGTGGCCCTTGCCTTTCTCCTCCACTTGGGTACCTCACTTGGCTCTCTGTAGGCTCAGTTCCCTGGGAGAAGGTCACCCTGCTCTCCCTCAGCCTGCGGCCCTGCAAAACACCGTGAGCTCAGAGGAGCAAGGGCAGGCTGGGCTCAGGGGAGGTGCCAGGCAGACACTGACAGAATGAGAGGACAGGTCCCTGCAGACCTCATCTGGAATATGGAAACATTTACTGCTGTGAAAGGCTGTTGAAGGATGTTACTAAAGCAGTCAACACACATCCATTGAGGGAGCTTTCTAGGGGTCAGGGACCTTCTCACAGACTCCCTGTAGCTGGTGCTCGAGGTTGTGGGACCGGTCAGCTGCAGAGGTCAGCCTGCACAGCCCCGACTCCCCACACCCACACCAGTGCACACACACCCAGCACCAGTAGCCTCAAGCCCTTTCCAGGCTCAGTGCTGCTCTCCTCAGCCTGGCGTCTCAGGGACTGTAAGCACGCAGGGCACTGGCTGTGGCTGGCTCTCCCTGCAGCAGGCCTGACCCTCACAGCTGAAGCTCAGAACACCAGTTCCAGGCCCATGAGGCCCAGAAGCTCGAGCTCATGCTGGTGATGCAGAGGCCAGGGCCAGAGGCAGTGCTGGCACCCCACCCCTGTGGCCCTCCGGGGCTGACCCATCGTCAGCAGCTCCTGACAGCTGTTCCTCAGCCAGCACCGGGTGGTTTAGCAAGCTAGGGACTGCTGCAGCCTCAAACCCCAAACCTCATCCCTCACTGTGGGGGCTCCCAGCAGCCTTCCTTGGAAGGCAGACATGAAAGGCACCAAGCCCCACACCGAGGGAAGCAAAACATGTTTTCCTCTTAACTTAAACAAGAGCTGGCGAGTGAGTCCCAGAGGCCCCTTTGTTTACCTCCCCTTGGCTCCAGGAAGATTCCACTCCAGTGGGTTTGTTCTAAAATAAGAACTGTTCGAACCAACCATGTAAGAATGGGCCTGGAGCCAGGACTAGCCTGCCTTGGGTTTTGGGGACATGTGGGCAGGGAGATGCCGCCCTGAGTTCCAAAGGGTGTTGGGGGCTCTGGGAGCCACCCTGCTCCTGCTCCCCACTCCTCCCAGCGAATTCTGATTCATGGGCTTCAAGGCCACCAGGGACTCTAGACCTTCCTACCACCCAAAGTGTCCAGGTGTGGACAAAGATACCCAGGCAGGGCATGGTCATGTCTGAGGTGACAGAGGAAGCCAGGACTGATGCCAGTTGAGTATCTTGAAGTTTACTTTCTTTTTTCTTTCTTTCTTTTTTTTTTTTTTGAGATGGAGTCTTGCTCCGTCACCAGGCTAGAGTGCAGTGGTGCGATCTCAGCTCACTGCAACCTCCGTCTCCCAGGATCAAGTGTTCCCCTGCCTCAGCCTCCTGAGTAACTGAGACTACAGGCGCGTGCCACCACACCTGGCTAATTTTTTTTTATTTTAGTAGAGATGGGGTTTCACTATGGCCAGACTGGTCTCTGTCTCCTGACCTCGTGATCCTCCCGTCTCCCAAAGTGCTGGGATTGCAGGCTTGAATCACCACACCCGGCGATGTTTACCGTCAATGTGATCTCACTTTGAAAGTGAGATCTGCCCACAGCCATTCAACCAGAAAGGGGAGATGCCAAAACTTGGTGTCGTCTTATGTTTGCAATCAACACCTCCGAGGCTACCAGGAGCCTCAACTGATTTCTACAAGGGTGCCAAGTCCACTCAATGGAGAAAGAGCAGTTTTCAACATGGTGCTGGGACAACATGACTCTGGATTGACAATGGATTCTTAGATACGAAACCAAAAGCACTAGCGACAAACTAAAAAAAAAACTTGGACTGCATTAAAATGAAAACTTTTGTGCTTCCAAGGGCACTATCAAGAAAGTGAAAAGGCAATCCCCCAAATAGGAGAAAATATCTGCAAATCATATATCTGATGAGGGACCTGTAGCTTGAATATATAAAGAACAGTTACAACTCAACAATAAAAAGACAACCCAATTAAGACACTGACAAAGCACTTGCTCCAAAGATAAACAGCCAGAAATATATGCAAAGATGCCCAATATCATCAGTCATCAGAAAAATGCAAATCCAGCCAGGCATGGTGGCTCACACCTGTGATACCAGTACTTTGGGAGGCCAAGGTGAGTGGATCACAAGGTCCGAAGTTCGAGACCAGCCTGGCCAATATGGTGAAACCCCATCTCTATTAGAAAAATTAGCTGGGCTTGGTGGTGGATGCCTGTAGTCCCTGCTACTTGGGAGGCTGAAGCAGGAGAATCACTTGAACCCAGGAGGCGTAGGTTGCAGTGAGCTAAGATTGTGCCACTGCATTTCACCCTGGGTGACAAAGGGAGACTCTGTCTCAAAAAAAAAAAAAAAAAAAGACCACATATTAGGTTCCATTTCTATGAAGTACCCAGAAGAGGCAAATCTACAGACAGAAAGTGGATGAGTGAATGCTTCGGGCTGAGAGGTGGCATGGAGCGTCCTTTTGAGGTGATGAAAAAGTCCTAATATTGACAGTGGTGATACTTACACAGCTCTGTGACTATATCAGAAACTGCTGAACTATATACTTTACATATGTGAATTGTATGGTTTATTAATTATATTGCAATAAAGCTGTTAAAAAATAAATAAAACCTGGCATCAGGCCAGGGCTGGCGGGCAGAGCTTACAGAGGAACCTCTGAGGTTCATACTTAATCAGCCCAATGTATCCCTGGCATCCTCCAAATTCCTGACGCTGTGCCATCAGAGGGACACTGCCTGTCTGTCCCTCACAAAGGCCCAGCTGCCAAGCTCCCTGACCCTTAGTCTCTCTTCATCCCCACCCTGTACGTGTAGGGCTGCTGGTGTGCAGAGCCCCCCGAGGCAGACGCCCTGCCTGATCCACAGGCCATGCAGAAACGGGCAGGCCCCACCTTCCTTCTCGAGCACCTGCCTGTCCCTGGCCTCCTCTGGGTCCCTCCTATTCGCTGCAGTCCCCCGTCAGCACCTGCCCTGGCTACCCTCACCCCAGGTTCTATGCCCCCCATTGCCCTTCCTCATGCCCACAGCCTCCAATGCTTTCTGTGGCGAAGGCACACTGATGGCCATGCACATGAACCTGTCTCCTCTGCCAGACAGGGCACTGTCTCCTCTCGTTGCTGGCCAGGAACACAGGGTTGGCCCAGGGGAGGTGCCAGTAACTTTACAGGATCAGCTCTCCTCAGAGGCTCTGCCTAGCCCAGCCTCCTTCCCCGTAAGCCCTGTCTTCCTCCTGTCACTGGCCCGCCATCCCATTCCACTTGCTCTGGGACGTCTGTGTCACTCTGGTCCCAGTCTGTCCTCTAGGAGCCTCGGGCTTCTGAGTCGTTTGTCACACGCCCTTGTTTCCCCTTCATGCTTGTCTCCTGTCTGTCCCACTGCCCAAGGGAGCAGCCTATTCTCTCCCCTGGTTCCCCTGACATGTGGGCATAGTGGCCTTGAGCACACATGTCCCATGGCCAGCAGCTCGCCACTGTACTGTGGATCCAACATCTCCATTGCAGAGGAGGGTACGGCAGCCAGGCACTGGGCTCTGGCTGGGAGAGATGGAGGCACTGGCTCTTGGGTAATCAAGAGTGCTTCCATCATGGGTGACCTAAGCCTATAGCTGAAAACCCTTCTTGGGAAGTCATGTGACACAGCCGCTGCCAAGCTTTGTGCGTGGCACAGAGACCAGGCCAGGACTCCTGGTCAAGCTCTCTGTGGGCTGACTGGCCCCTGGCCCTGGGGACTGAGTGGCCGATCATTTCCCCAGGCAGGACTGACACTGGTCTCCCTGGGGACAGAGTTAAAAAAAAAAGTCCCTCCTAAGATCCCATGGGGTGGGGTGGTGCAGTGGGGGAACGTGGGTTGGAGTTGGGGATGAGCCAGCGCATCCCTAAGGTCATGTCCTATCCTTGCGGCTGTCTTCTAGTGTGGGGGGTGGGAAGACACACGCAGCCCTCCTAATGCTAAGAGGTCACTCAGGACACTTCCCAGGTCCCCAGACCCCTCCCACCTGGCTGCTGTGATGGGGACGTGTGCTCCCCTGGTCTCAGCACGGTGGCCTTGCCTTTAACCTCAAAGATTTGAAACCTGCACACTCAGCATAAGAGACAGAAGGGGGCAGGGTCTGTGATGTCCCCAAGTGCCACAACTGTAATTCTTTAGGTGGTCACTAATATAAAGAGGGCATCTGCCTAGAAGTCCTGATCCGCCACCACCAGGGACTCCCCAGGGGACCTGCTCTGAAGCTCTGAAGCTACTCTGCAAACTGCAGAGGGCCCGGAGCCTGGCAAGGAATCTGCGCTCAGGTCACCTTCGGTTCAGAGCAGGAGGCATGGTGCTGCGGTGGCTGAAAGAAAATGCTTCGAGGACCCGTCAAGAGGCCCTGGGGAATTCAGCTCCTGAGCCTGCCCTGTGGGCACTGTCAGCGCCTGCAGGGCTGGGTGAGGGTCAGCACCGTCAGGGCCTGGATGCTTGAAGCCCAGAATGAGGGTTCTGACTGGATCGGCCTCTGTGGGAGGAGGTGCTCAGTGTCGATGTGCGCAACATCACTGTCTCCCGGGACCTCAGAGTCAACTCTGGTGGAGTGAGGCCACCCGAGACTGGCTCTCCGGCCATAGGGCTTGGCTCCATGCAGGGTGAATGGACATTACAGCTGCACTCCCAGGCGGCACCCGGAGGGAACAGAGAGGCATAAGACACCAGCCCCCCAGCCTCCTCTCAGGGCTGCCCTATCTGTGAAGCAGAACCATGTGATTGGCAGGGCTGCTGGGGGCAGGTCACAGGATCTCAGCACCGCTGGTGCTCAGGCAGGGGCTCAGATGTTTCCCAGGCCCAGGGCCCTCGAGCCTCGTGGGTGGCTCTCATTCCTTCTTCCTTTCTCAGATTTACGGGAAGTCGTAGAAAGCTGTCTCTTGGGATGTCTGGGAAAACAAGTTAGACACAAACCTAACAAGCTCCATTAACTGTCACGGCCTTGCAGAAGAGACCTTCCTATTTGCTCCTCATTGTGGCATTTTAAGCTGTCATCCCTGAGTGGTGACTGCAGATGTGGATGATGATAGTCTGATGAGCGGACTAAATCTGAACATCCTGTTTTGATGTAGGGATACTTGCCGCACCCCCAACCCAACACAGAGGACAGGGTTAGAAACCACGGGGCTCCCCAGTCCTGGAGTCCTGCTGAGCTAGGAGAGCTCAACTTTGCTTTTGTTTTGTTTTTTTGGAGACAGGGTCTCGCCCTGTTACCCAGGATGGAGTGCAGTGGCATGATCTTGGCTCACCGAAGCCTCGACCTCCTGAGCTCAGGCGATCCCACCTCAGCCTCCTGAGTAGCTGACACTACAGGGGTGTGCCAACATGCCTGGCTCATTCTGGTATTTTTTGTAGAGATGGGGTCTCGCCATGTTCCCCAGGCTGGTCTTAAACTCCTGGGTTCTGGCGATCCACCTCAGCTCCCCAAAGTGCTGGGATTGCAGGTGTGAGCCACCGCACTGGGCCTTGACCTCACTTTTAACTCTGAGTCCTGCCTCCTACCAGGAACAGGAGGGCCTCCCCTGGGTCCATCCCCATCCCTTGCACAGAGGACACTGAACTGGAATGTTCTGTCTGCACCTCCACCATCTCAGCCAGCCCGAATGCTACAGGCAGGGATCAAGGTGACCTGTCTCTATCTTCCAGCGCAGCCAGGATGGGGTCCAGTCCAGCATGGTACTCATCAAATGCTCTCTGACTGACCGAAGGCAGAGACACTGCAGTAGGGAGGAGCTGCTAGGGGACCCCTGACTCCCCAGAGCTGGGGCGGGTCTTTGTGTTTAAGATAGAATTCAAGTTCAACAGATGAAGAACCCTGGGCAGGGGCCATCCTGACCAAGTAACAGTCTAGGCAAGAGCAGAGAGAGAGGGTGTGGGATAGGATAGCTGAATCGTGGATGGCAAGGATGGGCCCAGAGCTCCGTGGAGGTAAGGACTTGAGATTTACCCTGACAGAGCTCCAAGTCTTTGCCAGCTATTGTGTTAGGCGCTTCGAACCCTACCTGGCACAGCGGAGTACCGGTGAGACACGCAGGGTGATGGAGGACACAGCAAACACACAGACCCCAGCCAGATCGTGCTGCGAAGCTTGAGAAAGCCTCGAAGGCGTCACCACTCACACAGACAAGTCTTTCTCAAAACGGTTTTGCGGGGAGATGAGGGAGGGAAGGAGAGTCTCGTGCATGATCCTACCTGAAGGCGTAGGTCTTCTGATGCCAGCTCAGCTGTCCCCGGATGCTGTATGCGATGGTGGTGACAAACTCCCCGCCCAACCCCAGCTCTGAGCAGAGCTTCAGGGCAAACTTCTCCGGTGAGTTCTCCTTCTCTGACATGTCCCACTCAAACTGGTCCACCAGGGAAATGTTTCCCACGTGGATGTTCAGCTGAGGCAACAACCAAAGGACACGAGTTAGAGCTTTTGGGACTGTCCCCAGCCCAGGGAGGCCGCAAGAGTAGAGGGCCTGCCAGACCTGGGCTGTGCCCTGCCCACCAGGACCCACCAGCTGATAACTGCAGGCAGCCCTTGTCCCTCCGTTCCTCACCCCCAAAACAGAGCTGACCCCACAGCCCTCCTGTCTGCCACGAGGGGCTCTGGCTCAGGGGCCAGCATGGTCACCCGCGAGAGGCCCCAAAGTGGCCCCAGGAGCACCCGAGTCCCACCTTACCTTCATCCCATCCCCACTGTGCCCCATGCTGACAGGGACCTTCCTTTCTGCCCTTCATTCCTGCTGCCATCCGTCTTACGTGGCTACACTGGCCAGGCAGGGCTCAGCTAAGGCATCCCTAAGCCCGCTCTTAAGCCAAAGTCTATGCCCTTTACAGAGCTTGCCCCTCTCAGAAAACCCTGCCTAGCATATTCACAGAGGCTCTCCACCCTGGGCCAACATGGCGGGAGCGCCGTGCTGGGCCAGCTCCTCCCACACTCCCCAGAGGACTCCTGCAGCACGTGACTCACAGCCAGAGGGCTCGGGCCCCGCCAGTGCAGTCAGGGATTTTTCCTAAGTGGACACCTGGGAAGCCAGCACCCAGCCAGAGAGAACAGACTGCACCCTAGGATCTCCCACCTACACCTGCTCCGCTGAGGCGGCACCATCTTGACTTCGGTCCCCCGAGCAGGTGTGGCTGTTCTGAATAGGATGGACGCTGGGGTCCAGTTTCATTCCCTCTGTGTATGCCTGCAAGGCTCCTCCCATTAGAGTGTGGGGCTGGAGTCATCCCTCACTGCTGTTCAGTGCCCCACGGGGCAGGCAGGCCATGGTGCACCTGCCCATTCACTGTTGGCCCTTAGCTTTGAAGTCAAGGATCAGGGTGGGCAGCTGCATGGAGAGCTCACCACTGCCTCGGAGCCCAGCCCTTCGGAGGACTTCTGCCTCCTTTTAGAGAAATGAGGGCACCCCAACCCCCAATCATGTTCATAAAGCCCCGTGCCTCTGAGCCCTGCACACCACCACTTGCTAGAATGTTCTTCCCCTCGCCCGGCAGGACCAGCCTCTTCTTAGCATCCTGGTCTAAGCCAAAGTGCCGGCTCCGGAGAACTCCCCACCCACCAGCCCCTTTCCACACCCTTCTCTCCATTTTCTCCTCCGTTTGGAGAAAGGATCTCACTCTGTCACCCAGGCTGGAGTGTAATGGCATGATCATGACTCACTAAAGCCCTGAACTCCTGGGCTCAAGAGACCCTTCCACCTCAGCCTCCTGAGTAGCTTGGACTACGGGCATGTGCTACCACGTCCAGCTAATTTTTTTTTTTTGTAGGGACAAGGTGTCTATAAGGCCCAGGCAATACATCAAGTGTTTTGGGTGGAGAAGAGACCTGTGGCTGAGCCCTCTGCTCTCTGTTGCCTCTCTGTGTTGCCAGGACTGGCCTCAAAAGATCCTCCCTTGACAGTCTTCTGAGTAGTCTGGGACTGTATGTGTGGGCCACCATGCATGGCCCCTCTCCTATTTTCTTCACAGCACTTAGGACTGTCTGTTTTGTTTTGAGACAGAGTCTTGCTCTGTCGCCCAGGCTGGAGTGCAGTGGCGTGATCTCGGCTCACTGCAACCTCTGCCTCCCAGGTTCAAGTGTTTCTCCTGCCTCAGCCTCCCAAGTAGCAGGGAATATACGCGTGTGCCACCATGCTCAGCTAGTTTTTTTGTATTTTTAGTAGAAATAGGGTTTCTCCGTGTTGGTCAGGCTGGTCTCGAACTCCCGACCTCAAGTGATCGCCCACCTCGGCCTCCCAAAGTGCTAAGATTACAGGCATGAGCCACCGCGCCCAGCCAGGACTGTCTGAAACAATCTGAATCATTTGCCTCCAGGAATCCTAGCACAGGCAGGGTGGTATTTGTTCTGGGAATCAAGGAATCCTCACACAGAGGGAGGAAGCCAAGGGGCAGAGCTGCAGCACCCTGCACATGGCACACTGCCAGGCAATGGGGCTGCAGTTGAGCCCCCATGTCCTTTGCTGTCTCCACGTACACCCATGCCTGGTGATGAATGGAACTGGAGGCATTGGCCCTTCCAACTGGAATCCAATGCCAAGCAAACCACGTAGGTGCTGGGTCCAGCAAGAAAGCGCAGCAGCCGACAGCCCATGGACACACCTGCCAGGATCCCATAGGACCATGGGCACATGGTTCTCACCCAGAAAGCCATTCCTACCCTGGGCTTATGCATGGGGCTGCCTGTCCCCTGCCATTCAGTCACTAACACATTCATTTATTCCAGAGTCTAGACTGTGTATCTACCAAGGAGAGCCACAGGAGAGACAAATCTTCAAAAGGCTGCTCGGAGAAAGCTGAGGTGGTACAACGCCTGTAGTCGCAGTTACTCGGGAGGCTGAGGTGGGAGGATCACTGGAGCTCAGGTGTTCAAGTCCAGCCTGGGCAACACAGCAAGACTGTCTCAGAAAAAAAAAGAAAAAAAAAAAGCCATGCTGCTGGGGGCAGTGACAGACACTAAGCAGGTTAAGTGAGCACATGGGAGTCAGACAGCACGGGAGTGTCAGGGAGGAAAGGCAGGGAGGGGTATAAAGTCTAGGCTGGCCTCACAAGTCAGGAGGCCAGGAAGGCTTCCAGAAAGGTGGCCTTTAGGAAGAACTGAATGTGTTCAGCGAGAAGGAATGTGGCTGCCTGGGGGAGAACAGTCCCAGGTGGGGGACACAGTGATGTAAAAGAAGCCAAGGCCTGGCACGTGGGTTGGCCCAGTGAGGGGACGAAGGGAGGAGATGAGGGTAGTGAGAAACTGCAGCAGAGGGCAGTTAGGGCCCTGAAGCCTTTGGATGGGCCTGGCTTCCACAGAGGGATGTGGGAAGCTTCTGGAGTGTTTTAGTCAGAGAAGAGACACGGGCTGAGGTGCTATGCTGAGACCTGTACTGGAAGGCGAGGAGGGAGGGAGCCCCCTGGCAGTGGCCTTGATGGGGCAGTGAGGAGTGCTGGACTCCAGGTGGACTCACAGAGCCAAGGCAGGGCCAGGACTCCCAAGTGGGCACACAGCAGGGCCAGGCCCCTGCCCACCTTCCCAGTCTTGACTCACATCTCACCCCAGGCACTCTCCGGACAGGGCATGGACAGTGCCACAGGGTCCGATGGCTCAAATCTCAGCAGCACCATGTCCCCAACTTCCTCCCCTGTCGCCCAGCTCCCGCCAGTAGATATTTGTACACCCAAGTTCACAGCAGCATGGTTCACAATAGATACATGTGGAAGCAACCCGAGTGTTTGTCCTTAAGGGATGAATAAATAAAAATGTAATAGAGCCATACAACAGAATCTTATTCAGCCTTCATAAGAAAGGAGGCTGGGCACAGTGGCTCACGCCTGTAATCCCAGCACTCTGGGAGGCTGAGGTGGGCAGACGGCTTGAGCCCAGGAGTTTGAGACAAGCCTAGGCAACATGGCGAAACCCTATCTCCACAAAAAAAAAACACAAAAAATTAGTGGGGCATGGTGGAATGTGCCTCTAGTCCTAGCTTTCCAGCTACTCAGGAGGCTGAACTGGGAGGATTCCTTGAGCCCAGGAGGCAGAGGTTGCAGTGAGCCGTAGCTGTGCCAATGCACTTCAGCCTGGGCAACAGAGTAAGACTCTGTCTAAAAATATACACATTTTTGTCTTTTTGTTGTTGTTGTTGTTGTTGTTTTTCCTTTTTGTGGAGAACGGGGTCTTGCTATATTGCCCAGGCAGGTCTCGAACTCCTGGGCTCAAGCTATCCTCCCGCCTCCGCCTCCCTAAGAGCTGGGATTACAGGCGTGAGCCACAGGGCCCGGCAAAATATACACATTTTTAAAAGGGAAGGACATCCTAACATGGTACAACATATATGAACCTTGAAGACACTCTGCTAAGTGAAATAAGCCAGTCACAAACGGACAAATACTGCATGATTCCCTTAAGGAATGTATATGAGGCACCTCGAGTAGTCAGATTGACAGAGACAGCAGAATGGTGCTTGCCAGGGACTACGGGAAGGGAAATGGGGAGTTAGTTTTACATGATGACAGAATTCTGGAGATGGATGGCGGTGATAACTACACAGCAATGGATGTGAATGTATTGTCACTGAATTTACACTGAAGTGGTTAAAATGGTAAATTTTATGTTATCAATGTTATCATAATTTTAAAATATTAATCAAGAAAACAAAGTATTTAGGCCAGGCACAGTGCCTCATGCCTGTAATCCCAGCACTTTGGGAGGCCGAGCTGGGTGGATCACCTGAGGTCAGGAGTTTGAGACCAGCCTGACCAATATGGTGAAACCCCATCTCTACTAAAAATACAAAAATTAGCCCGGCATGGTGGCAGGCACCATACTCCCAGCTACGTGGGAGGCTGAGGCAGGAGAACTGCTTGAACCTGGGAGGCGGAGGTTGGAGTACGTCGAGATGGCACCACTGCACTCCAGCCTGGGCGACAGAGTGAGACTCTGTCTGTAAACAAATAAGTAAGTAAATAAATAAAGATATGCAGTTGTTCTCTACTTGGGGAAGTTGCTGGTGATTCCTCCACTTTATTTTCCAAAATCTTTGTAAAGTATCACAGAGAAACACAATGGGACGTAGTAGGCCCAGGCTCCATCTGGCGGACGGGGCAGAGGCACTCCTCCTCCCAAGGTTCTTCCGCTCCAAAGACTATTTTCAGGAACCCTTTGTAACATGGCTTTTATTTATTTATTTATTTTTTTTTTTGAGACGGAGCTTCGCTCTTGTTACCCAGGCTGGAGTGCAATGGTGTGATCTCAGCTGACCGCAACCTCCGCCTCCTGGGTTCAAACAATTCTCCTGCCTCCGCCTCCCAAGTAGCTGGGATTACAGGCACGCGCCACCATGCCCAGCTAATTTTTTATATTTTTAGTAGAGACGGGGTTTCACCATGTTGACCAGGATGGTCTCGATCCTTGACCTCGTGATCCACCCGCCTCAGCCTCCCAAAGTGCTGGGATAACGCGTGAGCCACCTCGCCCGGCCATGGCTTTTATTCTTATACGTCAATGTTTATCTAAAATTGAAACCAAAGGCACGGCATCAAATCAAACCAAACCCCTGACCTTTTTAGGGTCATCACATGTGCCAATCTCAGCTACTTCTCATATCCTTGTTTTCAAAGCTCCCCTCACCCTCAAGACACAGTCCAGCAGTGGCGGCTCAGCACAGCAAGGATTATGCTGCAGGCTCTGCAGGACGCAGGCCTGCGCTCAATCACCAGCCCTACCACTTCTCAGCTGGCCAGTCTGTGACTTTAGCAGGTGATCTCAGCTCTCCATATGCCCACCTCTTCACCTGTAATATGGTCACTAAGGCAGCATCTTATTGGGTTACTGGGCCACCCTGGAACACTGAGCCTTGCCCAGCCAATCAGCTGCCTTCACCTCCTCTAGAACTCTGGGCTTTGCTCAGAGGCTGGCAGTACCTCAGAGGCACCCCCAGAATGTGTCCAGAATGTAACACTTTACTATGAGAAGTCAGCCTATGCCCTTCTTGGGGGATTGCAGGGAGCAGAGCCAGGTGCTATGACTTTCCAGAGGACACAGAACCCAAAGAGGGGCTTTTGCTAAGGCCTTGGTATACCCTCAGTGCCCCATGATAACACCCACCCCAAGGACCAGGAAGGCTCCAGTGCTGGGTAAGAAGTCACCCACCTTGATGATCACGCGCTGGTCTGACTGGTCCTCCAGGATGCTGTCCGTGGGGTAGGACTCGATCTGCTGTCTGATGGCAGAGGCGATGGCTGGCACAAACGTCAGCGGGTTCAAATCCAGATCGTCACAGAGGATTTCTGAAAACATCTCAGGCGTCATCAACTTCTCTGGAATCAAGAGAGGGAAGGGATGCCAACAGATTACACCATGCTTGGGCATGGACCAGGCTCCCCAACCCCTTCCTCTTCGAAGCCAAACATCTCCAGATGCAGGAGACACGAGCAGGGCACTGAGGGTGGCCTTCCTGGAAACTGGAAATGGGAGGAGGAAGCACATGGCTGGCAGGCCCCCAGCCTTCATTCTGCACATACTTCCTGATCCATGCCCTGGGGGTGGTCATGGCCATAAACACTCCCCCTATTCCAGGAGCTCACTGTGGGTAGGGCGCATAAGATTATCCTGACTAATGAGAAGCTCTGGGAGAGGCCAGCAAAGGCACATGGAAGCTTGTGTGCCCATCTCTCCACTCCCCTCCGTGCTGAACTGCTGGCAACATGATGGCGCAGAGGCTGGCCCAACACCAGGCCTCCGTGTAAGCAAAACACACTGTGCCAAGCCATGGCGACTTCCAGGCCTGTGACTGCAGTAGCAGCAGCAGGGCCTTAACAAGGTCACAAACATGGAGGTCCCTACAGATCCCGGATCCGGGAAAAGTAGCTGCAACAGATGGGAGCTCACAGGGACCATCTGTGGCCAGCCAAACCTCAGCAAGGTCCTGCTCAGTTAACATTCTCTCCCTGCTTCGCCTAGATCTTACGGACAAGACGCCTTGCTGGGATAAGCTGAAAAAGCCAGAAGAAAAGAAAAGAAAAGAAAAGAAATCCTTCAGAGCATTCAGCAGGATTCCATCACCAAGAAGCATGTCTGCCTAACAGACCACAGCCTCGCTATTTCCTCCATGCCCTGAAGACACACTGGAGACCAGCATCCTAACAGCCTGAGAGGCAGCAACGGCTCCTTGGGCGAGCGAATGTGCTTCTCCGTGGAGACTGCAGCAGGAACCTCCAGTGCACAGGGTAAACGCCCTGTGAATACACTGCCCAGAGCATTTTAAAATTGTTTGTTTTTTTTTTTTTGAGACAGAGTTTCGCTCTCGTTACCCAGGCTGGAGTGCAGTGGCGCGATCTCGGCTCACCGCAACCTCTGCCTCCTGGGTTCAGGCAAGTCTCCTGCCTCAGCCTCCTGAGTAGCTGGGATTACAGGCACGCGCCACCATGCCCAGCTAATTTCTTGTATTTTTAGTAGAGACGGGGTTTCACCATGTTGACCCGATGGTCTCGATCTCTTGACCTCGTGATCCACCCGCCTCGGCCTCCCAAAGTGCTGGGATTACAGGCTTGAGCCACCGCGCCCGGCCCTAAAATTAAGTTTTTTATTGTGAAGCAATTGTAGATTCATGTGCAGTTACAAGAAACAACACAGAGAAATTCCATGCACATTGCACCCAGTTTCCTCCAATAAAGTCAAGATACAGGACACTTCCACCACTACGAGGCCCCCTCCATTGCCTTTTTATGGCCACAGATGCTTCCCTCCCACTCCCATCACCCTCTCCAGCCCCTGGAAACCACTAACCATCTCCATTTCTGTAATTTTACCATTTCAAGAATGTTCTAGGCCAGGCACAGTGGCTCACAACTGTCATCCCAGCACATGGGAGGATCATTTGAGCCCAGGAGTTTGAGACCAGCCTGGGTAACACGGTAACCTCATCTTTACAAAAAATAAAGGGCTCACGCCCGTAATCCCAGCATTTTGGGAGGCCAAGGCTGGAGGCTCATGAGATTAAGAGATCGAGACCATCCTGCCCAACACGGTGAAACCCTGTCTCTACTAAAAACACAAAAATTAGCTAGGGTTCACTTTTGCAGCAAAATTATCCAGTGATTCATCCAGTTTGTCACTTATTTTTTATTGCCAAGTGACATTCTGTGGTGCAAAGGGGCCACACTTTATTCACCCACTGAAGTCTATCATGTCATCTGCAAATGGAATTTGATTTCTTCCTTTCCAATCTACATGTTTTGTTGTTGTTGTTGTTTGTTTGTTTGTTTTGAGACAGTCTTGTTCTGTCACCAGATATCAGGCTGGATGGCACGATCTCGGCTTACTGCAACCTCTGCCTCCTGGCTTCAAGCAATTCTCCTGCCTCAGCCTCCAGAGTAACTAGGACTACAGGATCGCACCCATGCCAGCTAATTTTTATATTTTAGTAGAGACGGGGTTTCACCATGTTAGTCAGGATGGTCTCGATCTCTTGACCTTGTGATCCGCCCACCTCAGCCTCCCAAAGTGCTGGGATTACAGGCGTGAGCCACTGCACCTGGCTCTGCATGTCTTTTATTTCCTTTTCTCGTCTTATTGGATTAGCTAGAACTTCCGATACTATGCTGAGTAAGAATAGTGACAAGAGACATATTTGGCTTGTTCCTGATCTCTGGCAGAAAGCATGTAACCTTTCACTATTAAATGTTAGTGACAGGATTTTTTGTACTAAATGGATGCTCTTTTTAGGAAGTTTCCTGCTATCCTTATTTTTCTGAGCATTTTTATCATCAGGTGTTGAGTTCTACAAAATGCTTTTTCTTCACCAATCAAACTGATCCTGTGATTTTTCTTCATTAGTGTGTTAATATGGTGGATTACATTGATTGAGCATCAAATATTGACCCAGCCTTCCATTCCTGCAATAAATCCCACGTTGTCACAGTGTATAATTATTTCTATATATTACTAAATTCTATTTCCCAATATTTTGCTAAGGATTTTACATCTATAAGGGATACTGGTCTGTAAAAATTTTCTTTTTTATTTTTATTTTTTTGAGGAGTCTCTCTCACAGGCTGGAGCACAGTGGCATGCTCCCAGCTCACCGCAACCTCTGCCTTCCAGTTTCAAGTGATTCTCCTGCCTCAGCCTCCCACGTAGTTGGGATTACAGGCGTGAGCTACCATGCCCAGCCTGTATTATTCCTTTTTGGTACTGTCTTTAGGTTTGGTATCTGGGTAACACAAGCTTTATAAAACTGATTGGGAAGTGCAATCTCCTCTTCCATTTTCTAGAAGAGACTGTGTAGAATTGGTGTTAATTCATTTTTTCAACATTTGGTAGACAGAATTCTCTGGTCAAATCACCTGGGCCCAGATATATTTTGGGGAAGAATTTTTTTTCCTTTTTAGAAATAATTTTTTATATCTGAAAATTTAATTAGAGATCAGGATCCTGCTATGCAGCCCAGGCTGTTATTGAACTCCTGGCCTCTAGCAATTCTCCCACCTCAGCCTCCCAAAGACCTGGGATTATAGGTAAAAGCCACCATGCCTGGATAGTGTTTAGGGTTTTTAAATTACAAATTCTATTCCCTTAATAGTTATAGGGAAGGGCCGGGCGCGGTGGCACAAGCCTGTAATCCCAGCACTTTGGGAGGCCAAGGCGGGTGGATCACGAGGTCAGGAGATCGAGACCATCCTGGTCAACATGGTGAAACCCCGTCTCTACTAAACATACAAAAACTTAGCCGAGCACGGTGGCGCGTGCCTGTAGTCCCAGCTACTCGGGAGGCTGAGGCAGGAGAATTGTTTGAACCCAGGAGGCGGAGGTTGCAGTGAGCCAGATCGTGCCATTGCACTCCAGCCTGGGTAACAAGCGAAACTCCGTCTCAAAAAAAAAAAAAAAAAAAAAAAAAAAAAAAAAATAGTTATAGGGAAACCCAAATTAGCTATTTGATATTGAATGAGCTATAGTAATTTTCGTTTTGCAAGGAATTCATTTTGTGTAAGTTGTCAAACTTTTAAGTACAGAATTGTTTGCAGTATTCCTTTCCTTTTGATATTTGTAGGGTCTGTGGTGACATCCCATTTCATTCCCGATATTGATAATTTACGTTCTTTTGATCAGCCTTGCTGGAGGTTGTCAGTTTTATTCATCTTTCAAAGAACCAGCTAGATTTCATTAACTTTCTCTGTTGTTTGATTTCTGTTTTCAGTGTCATTGATTTCTGCTCTTCAAATGTCCTTCCTTCTGCTTGCTTTGGTTTCATTTTTTCTTTCTCTTGGTTCTTGATAAGAGCTTAGATTACGGATTTGAGGAAAGCTTTTCCTGTTTTCTAATGTATGCACTAGTGCTACAGATAATCTGCATAGCACTATTTAGCTTTATCCCACAAATTCTAATATGCTGCATTTTCATCTTCATTTAGGTCCGTGTATGTTTTTAAATTTCCCTATAGACTTCCTCTTTGAACCACGGAGAAGTCTGTTATTTAGCTTAAAAGCATCTGAGTCAGTTGCAGTTAGAGAACACACTCTGGATGGTTTTAATTCTTTTATTTGTTGAGGCTTGTTTTATGATCTATATATGGTTTATACAGTATATGTTTCACAGGCACTTGAAAAGAATGTGCATTCAGCTGTGCTGGAGTGTCCTATAAATGTGAATCGGATTCTGTTGGTTGATGGTGTTTTTGATCTTTTATCATTTTATCGATTTTCTGTCCAGTTCCATCCGTTTTTGACAGAGGGATGCTGAGGTCTCCAATATGACTGCGAATTTGCGTATTTCTCCTTTCAGTTCTATCTGTATTGTTTCACAGATTTCCCAGCTCTGTTGTTTGCTACACACAGACTTAGGACTGCTCTGTCTTCTTGGTGGATTTATCTTTTTATCATTTATTTAATGTCCCTCTCTGTCTCTGGTCATTTTCTTTGACGTCTGCCTTACTGATACTAACATTGCCACTCCTGCTTTCCTTTGATTAACGTTTCCTCTTTTTCCATCTTCCTACTTTCAACCAACTTTCTTCATTATACTTCAAATGAGTTTCTTGCAGATAACATATAGTTAGGTTTTTTTTTTTTTTCTCTCTTTTGAGACAGAGTCTTGCTCTGTGGCCTAGGCTGGAGTGCAGTGCCTCGATCTCGGCTCACTGCAACCTCGGCCTCCCGGGTTCAAGCGATTCCTCTGCCTTAGCCTCCCAAGTAGCTGAGATTACAGGTGCGTGCCACCATGCCCAGCTAATTTTTTCTATTTTTAGTAGAGACAGGGCTTCACTGTGACAGCCAGGATGGTCTCAATCTTCTGACTTCGTGATCCACCCGTCTCGGCCTCC